ATCCATAAAAAAGAATGAAATTCTGCCATTCACAGTAACATGGATGAGCTTAGAGATAATTAAGTGAAATAAGCCAGGCACAGAGGGAAAAATACCACATGTCCTCATAAGTGAGAGCTGAGAGAGAAAGAAGGAAGGAAAGAAAAACCATAATGGTGCATTGGAGTTGCAGAGGGAGGGAACAGAGAACTAAGGTTGCCAGGAGTGGGGAGGGGTGGGGAGGGCAGCTGGGGAGAGGTTGTATTGGGGACACAGAGAGTAATTGCAATCCGAGGTGGTGGGCCTGCTAATAGTATTGATCCCATCATCACATCTTGCACACAGGAGCTGTTGGTCAGCTATGTGGCCCATGAATATATATAATCAATAAAAATAAATATTGGTTCATCAGTGAAAACAAGTATACATATTAATGCATTATGTTAATACTTATAATAGGAAAAACTGCAAATGGGGGGAGAGCTGGGGGCATGTGGGAACTCTGTACTTTCTGCTCAGTTTTTCTGTAAATCTAAAACTGTTCTAAAAAGTAAAGTCTGTTTATTAAAAGAAAAAAAAAAAAAAAAAGTCCTAGGCAAGCCAGAGAATGAGCCTATGAAATCAGGGAACTCTACAGATAGGAAATACCTTTGTCAGATCCAGGGGACATTTTAATCCTGAAAACCAACAGGTTTCATGTTATCCCCTAGAATGCAGGAAGCATGTGAGAAGGTAGAAAATATCTCCCACATTCATTCTCTCTCTTGATACTGTTGAGTCTGTAATCTGCCTCAGAGAGGGGATTTGGTAACTGATGAGCGGTTCTGTGCTTTGTTACTGGAGCTGAGTGCTCCTTGAGCCTCCGCAGGCTCACTGTGGAAGGTCATTTCAGCAATATGATAACAAGAGATTAAAGTAAGAGGACTAGGCTCTCCTTTAGGATGCAGAAATGACTTGTAATGAGAATCCTGAATTTGTTAGTTTGGTTGGTTGGTTTGGTTTTAGGAAACTTGGTCGGAGATGTAGGCATTGGGTGTCCAAAGATGGGATTTTAAGATAGTGGATTAATACATGAAAATGTCAGTTGATTTTTGTTTTCTTTTATTTCTTTGTTTTTTACTTTTTAAAAATTTTTATTGAATCAAAATTCATTATACATATTTTTCGGGTTCAACACTGAGATATGTTGATCAAATCAATATTACTAGCATATATATTGTTACAAATCATAATTATTCTTTATTCCCCTTGTCCAATCTCTCCTCATCCCCCCAACCCTCCCCTTCCCCCCTCTAATTGCCCTAGATTTCTTTTCTCCTTCTAAAAGAGTAATGGTTACTCTGTTGATTGGTTGCCTAGATGATCTTTCCAATGCTGAGAGGTGTGGTCAGGTCCCCTAATATTATCATAGAACAGATGCTTATTCTGTCACTCTGGAATGGGCTTTGTGGAGAAAGAAATCCTCTTCTTTTCTTTGGTCTCTGTTGGTGACTCTCCTTGTGTGAATGCACTCCAGTGGCTGGCAGACCATCTGTGTGGTGGTTATAGCATCTAGGCGCTTTCATGGCAGCCATGGTTATTTTGGTGGCTGTGGTGGGCCACCCACGTGGAGGTGATGTTTTTGGCATGCTCCTTGGTGCAGGCAGTGTGCCTGGTTGTGGGGAGTGTCTGGTCCCCGGCTCCATACCTCAGGTCCCCGGGAGGGCCCTGAGGCACTGGCACAGTGTGCCTGGTTGTGGGAGAGGGTTCCAGTCCCTGGATCCATACCTTGGGTCCCCAAGCAGGCCCTGAGGTGCTGGCACGGTGTGCCTGGTTGTAGGAGGGGGGTCTGGTCCCCTTCTCCATGCCCAGGTCCCTGGGTGGGCTCCGTGGCACTGGCGCAGTGTGCCTGGTTGTGTGTGGGGGGGTCCAGTCCCCTTCTCCATACCTCAGATCCCCAAGCAGACCCCAAGGTGCTGGCATGGTGTGCCTGGTTGTGGGAGGGGGGTCCGGTCCCCAGCTAGTAAAGAAAAGATTGTTATTGCAGATTTCTCAAGAAGATACTTAAACAGAAAGTACTGGGGAAAACATCCTTCACTTTTAAATATCCAGTTCTGCCCTTCACTGGGTGTAGGCACTGATCTATAAAAACAGCCATTAGTGGAGACCCTTCCAAGCCATAGAGTACCATTCAGATTCTGGAATCATTTAGGGGAAAGTTACATCACTGGGTGTATATTTCCTAGAGTCTACCAAATGGGAATAAGAAAGGGTCAGAGAAAGCCAGCAAACTGGCAGTACCAAGTTGCTGATTTGTCTTTATTGAATTTTATATTATTCTCCCTTCTTCCCAAGTCAAATAATAACAACAATGAACTATATATAGCAAAGGATGGTTTACTTGGTGTGGAGCACTGTTCTAAGTACCTTGCATGAATTAACTCATTTAATCTCTACAACAGCCTCTACCCAATGGGGGCTATTATTAATATCCATCTTACATATGATGAGACTGAGGTATAGAGAAGAAGTAAGGTGACTGGGCAGAGCTAGCTGGTGGTGAGCTGGGTGAGCTCCGCTGTATGGTTTTCCTGAAAATACAGATGTAGCACAGGCTCCAGGGCCCAGACTCTTAACCCCTCACAGCCCTGCTGCTTCAGGCAGACTCTGCTGGCCTCTTGACTGCCTCATAATTTAGACCAAATTTCAAAAGAGGCAATATGTGTTTTTTTTTTTTCTCCTTTTTGTCTTTTTTCGGTGCCGGCAACGGGATCGCAACCCTCGGGGTCACGCCCGCACCTCGCTCAGCCAGTGAGCGCTGTGAGCGCACCGGTCATCCCTATATGGGATCCGAACACGCGGCGGGAGCGCTGCTGCGCTCTCCAACGGCGCCCCGGAGCCG